TGTTAGCTCTAGACATTTACACTTTCCATAAATCCCAGTGAATTCCCCTCACCCCACAGCCCCCGGCAGCTTTCTCATCATCACTTACCTTTTAAGGTTATGGATATTTTCTTTCCCTGTTATTCCTTGTCTGTGTCAATAAGCGTGTACATCGTCTATCAAGCTAATGGGGCCATAAACCTTTAGGAAGTACGGCTAAAATATGTGGAGTGCTTGAGGATCCTTTGACTGGTGGGGGTCTTTCCTTGAAGTAGTTGGATTACTCATGGGAAAGGTACAGTTTTGCAGGTGGCAATGAGCTGAAATCAAAGGAAGGTGGAAGAGCAGTGCTGGAGAAGGATGGGGAGAAAAGTGTAAGATTTGATATCCCTCTTATTGGCCATGGACTTGATTATGGTTTATAAACTAATAAGATCTCGGTTGTCTGTCTCCCCTGTGGCACCACAATTCTGCTTCATGGTGTAAAAGAGAAATATAATTTTATGACTGTGGGAATTAGTAGGGTAATCATGTAAAGACAATAGGGGTTGTAAATCAGCTGCCTGGCTGAAGAAATGGAACACTTCTTGCTCACCGTTGAGTTATCCGGTAGGTTTTGGGCTTGCCAATTCCATAATTCTTGTTTTAAAAAGTGTGGGGGTTACACAGCTAAAACTTTTAGAGTTCTTTATCAAATATATGTGCAGCCTTGCAGGATAAGGAGGAGGAAGGGAAAGGAAATGGGTTGGGGGCTGCAGAGGAAGGGGCCATGAAGTACAGCAGTGTTTTTCAGCCTTGGCACCTTGAAGATGTGTGGACTTCAACTCCCAGAATTCCCCAGCCAGAATGAATTGTGGGAGTTGAAGCCCACACATCTTAAAGCATGCTGGCTGGGGAATTCTGAGAGTTGAAGTCCATGCAGCTTAAAGCTGCTGAGGTTGAGAAACACTGGAGTAGAGAATTGTAACATCAAAAGATCCTTGCCTGTTCCTTTCCTCCAAGACACACTTATTCAGTTCTGTTTCTCATTTGCCATGGAAATTAGGAATGTGAAGATCCAAGGCTGTATTTCTGAGGACCAGAGTTGACCCAGTGATGCTACTCTATAACTAACTGAACATACCCAACAGCAATTTTTAGGAGGCCTAACATTATGTAGAGATTGGAAGCCTGAGATTCTGGAAGCCATAATGCAAAATTCTGGTCTCTTGGATCAAATCTCACTCCCTGTACAGTGGTTTGTCAACCATTCTGTCAGATGGTTACAAAGCATGATTAAGAGTTCAGGTATATTAGAAGAAGGAGGGAGAATGGACAAGGCAATTAAGTACCATCAAACTAATTAATTCACTGTGGAGTCCTTGGTGCTCTCTGAGCTTGGTTGTTTGCTTGCAGACATTTCATTACTCGACTAGGTAACATCATCAGTGCTGGTGAGTGTGGAGTTTGCTTCCTGTTTATATAGAGTAGCTTGCCCTGACAGTGTTTTGGGGAGTGTGGTTTTCTCCTTGGTGGTTCCTTGATTAGAGTATTGCTTTCTGCTTGATTGTTTGTCTGGTGCTAATCCCTGCTTATCTGGGTATAAGCTGCTGGAGAGGATGTGTTCTGGTCTTTTTGTTTTCTTCTTAGCTCTTTTATTGTCTCTTTTGAATGGTATGTACATATGGTTTATTTCTGTGTGTCTGCTGATGGCTGATTTGTCTGAGTGCCAAGCCTCCAGGAATTCCCTAGCATTTTTTAAATTTAACTTGGTCTAGGATGCTCACAATTTCCCAGTTGAAACTGTGGTTGAGTCTGTCCATGTGTTGTGAGATTAAGGAGTTTCATCATGTCTTCAGCTGCTAATCAGTGTTCAGGGATGCGCTCTGTTAGTCTTCTGATTGATTAATTAATTGATTAATTCACTAATTAATTTACTTTTAAAGACTGATCTAAGGCCAAGATAGATGTTACATAAACATGGAATTAGAATCAAAGTAGATCCTATGGGCTAAATGACCTCTGAGGTCTCTTCCAACATGAGTAGTCTCTGTTAATGAGTTGAAAAGAACCATCTACTCCAGCCATCTGCTTAATGCAGGATCTACTATAGCATCTCTGGCAGATGGCCCTCTGACCTATTACTGGAGGACTCCAGTGAAGGAGAACTTCCTGTTTCATGTGGCAGGCTGTTCCACTGGCTGACCACTCATGTAGTCAGGAAATTTCTCATATTTATTTGTAGCCATGCCTTCAGTTTCAGCAAAAATCACTCTGGAATGCCAGAAGACATCCTGTGGACTATTAGCCTTCTGGTATATGAAGGTTTAGGGCACTGGCCCTGCCCACAGTGGCAGCCATTTTGTTAGTGTGCCAACCAGCACCTCTCCCAATTCCAGACATGGTCTTGGCTAAAAAACATTGTCTTTCTTTAATTTAAGACCTTCTACCAACTGTGTCAGATCTCAGAGTTTTATTTTACAAGTTGTAACCTTCCATTTTCCAAAATGTACATTTCAGGGTCCTAGAGCTCAGGATGCACAAGGCCAGGCCCCACAACCCCATCCTCATCTCTTCTGCTCCCCCAAAGAAATTGTCTTTTAAAGTTTCAATTAGGAAGTACATGGGGGTCAATCAGATCAAGATACACATTGCAAAGTGCCTTTTGCCTCATTTTCCATCCCTGGCCTCTTCAATTATCTATAATGAACTTCCTAACGCAGCCTCAAACCTTTTTATATGCTAACGAAGCCCCGATTGAAGCTGCGGCAATTGCCTCTCGTTAATGAATGAGAAGAACGATGACATTGGTGGGGAGAGCAGGGGAGAAAAATCCGATCTGCAAAGCCTCTGGTTCCCTTCCTTGGTCTTCACACAGCTTCTTACACACTGGATGTGGGTTCTCTTCTGAGGCTGACTGCAAGAGATTCCTTGCTCCTAATGAATCCACAACAGATATGTGCTTTCTTGGACTAGAATGCAAAAATCACCCAAAATATTCCAGCATTCCATTATCTCAGCCCACTTCAAATAATAATTATTATAATTGCAGTTTACACACAGTCTACCAGATAGCTCTGACCAGTTTTGGTACCCTTGACTGTCAGATCCTTCCCAAGGGTCTAAGATAGTGTGTTTCTCAACCTTGGCAACTCTAAGAATTAAAGTTTAATTTTAAGAGCCAACATGCTGGCTGGGGAAGTCTGGGAGTTGAAGTTCCCATGTCTTAAAGTTGCCAAGGTTGAGAAACACTGATCTAGGATAGTTAAAGATACTGCTGTAATATATGTGCTGTTCCAAGTAATACAAATGTTTGTAATTGATGAGTTGAGATTCTGTCTCTTCTATTGCATCCCGGTGCTCTTTTTCCAGATCTTTTGGTGTGGCACCAAGCCCCATGTTGTTATTATTAGTATTAGTATAGTATAGGGTTCGGGCATGACTGATCTCGGGGGGAATGATGTTCCAGTGCGTGGGCACCACAGCAGAAAAGGCCCTCTTCCTGGATCCTGCCAGATGGCACTCTCTCACAGACTGGATCCAGAGCTTGCGTTTCCTGCCAGATCTCACAGTCTGGGTAGACACCACTGAAGACAGACAGTCCCATAAGTAACCTGGTCCCAAGCCATGAAGGGCTTTAAAGGTGACCACCAGCACCTTGAATTGTACCTGGAAGCATACCAATAGCCAATGTAGCTTGCAGAGCAGAGGTGTCAAATGTGCCCGATGACCTGCACCCATATGTGTCGGGCTCCCTGGAAGGCAAAGCAGCCGACTGGGTGATGCGCCTGTGTGAAGCGGGCTCTGCCAATCTATGAAGTCTGGATGACTTCATGAGTGCCCTCCGCAAGCAGTTTGAAGACCGCCACATTTCACACCACTGAAGTGTCAGAAGCCTCGCAATCAATTAAATAGTTAATCAGCTTGTTTGCTTCATTTCTGCCATTTTGGAAAAGGGGGAGAGGGAGAAAGAATCGTTAGGTGCAGGTGGACTGTTACCAGGTTCCCCGAGACAACCAAGGTCGTACCAGCCTGAGACCCAAGAAGAGCTGAGATCATCAACCTGAAAGGGATGGACTGGGAAAAGGGGGGCGAAGGCAAGGGGAAAGAAAAGGGGTTTTGGCACACACAGGCTTTTAGTCTTGGCAATGAGTTAGAACTGTAGACTGCTTCTCAATAAAGCAATTTTCTTTGAATTCATTCTGTGATTCACTGAGATTTACTTTTATTGGGAATTGAGTTTGGCAGATTCTTAATTTTGCTAAGACTCCCCTTAGCGAATCTTTCCTGGAGCAGGCACTTTTCGAGGAAGGTTCAGAACTTTGCTGCTACTCAGGATGGCTGACAATGCCATAGAAGTAGAGTCCGGAGCCGTTGGAGGAACCGCCGGGGTGTTGGACAGGGAGCCACAGCCTGGACCTTCAGAAGCGCTGGAACCTACTGTGGTGGTAAGAAGGAGAGATCAGCAACTGGCTACCCAAGCAACCCATTTCCAGGAGGTCGTGGAAACGGAGGAAAAACCACCAGCTAAGCTGACACAGAAGAAAGTCGAACCCCAGTGGTCCTTGGGGGTTGGAGACATCCAAGTGGCTCAAACCCCCAGGGAGAAGAAGGACCCAGAGTTGAGAATCAGGAAATTGGAAGGCAAGGTGGAGAAGATAGAGGTGCAACTGTCCGCTGTGGGTGACGGCGTTTGTGCAATGCAGACCCTGATGGAGAGATCACTAGGACCCGGGTCCCAACAGCGGCAAGCTGGAGGGGATGGAGCATTACCTCCAACTCGACCCAGCTCTCCAATGTCATTAGGGAGAAGCGGGGGTTGGAGTGAGGCTCCACAGTCTAGTGGAGAAGAAGATGAAGGCCCGCCCCCAGGCATGAGTGGGGAGAGAAGAACCCTCTCCAGCAGAGGGGTTTCAAGATGGTTTTTGATAGAGACCCTGAGCGGTTAGGCTGTTTCGTGACCCAGGTGCAGATCTACATGGAGGGATGTGGAGCAAGTCATTTATGTGTCAGGCTCCCTGGAAGGCAAAGCAGCCGACTAGATGATGTGCCTGCATGAAGTGGGCTCTGCCAGTCTACAAAGTCTGGATGACTTCATGAGTGCCCTCTGCAAGCGGTTTGAAGACCCATTTGCGACCATCAAAGCCAAGGCGGCAATCAAGCAAGGGCCCCAAACAGTCTCAGAGTGCGCCCTGGAGTTCAAGGGGTTAGTAGAGAGGCTGCGGAATTGGCATGAGGAGCTGAAGGTGCAGTATTTCCAGAAGGGGCTGAGACTGGAGCTGTTGGAACAAGCTCTGGCGGGTGGCAATCCTGAAACCCTAGACAAGTGGATTATCTTGGCCGGAACGGTGGAAGCAGATTGGCTGTCAGTTCGAGGCAAGAGCAGCTGCCTGACGGGAGAGGCAAGACCCGGAGTGAAGAAGCTAGCTGGAAAACCCAGAGAGGGAACCTGAGAGATGAGATCCAGGAAGCGCACATGCTTCAAGTGCAGAGAAAAGGGGCATTTTGCAGCTAGTTGCCCAAAAAACTGCTCTTCATCAACTGCTGCAAAACCGCCCGTAGGGAAAAGGGTGCCTAAAGGTCGTGAACTGAGTGACAAGCCCGAAAAGAAGGGGACAGCAGTGGCGGGATCGGAGGAGGGTCCGCTTTTGTGGGACAGCGAGTCCTCCGAGGAGGATGTGAATCAGAAAGTGACAAGGGCATGGTGAGTCCTTTGACAGTGGATGTAAAACTGAGGGTTTTGAGGACTAATTGTAAAGCAGAATTGACTGCATTAATTGACTCTGGTTATACCCGGTGTTTAATTGATCCACAAGTTGTGGATAACTTGGGACTGAAGGTGCGGAACTTAAAATACCCTTCCTGTTTTCACCCAGTTGGAAGGATTGCCCACAGGAGGGGGTCCGGTGAAATTGATCATGGAACCTGTAGAAATGAGGATTAGGACTCATAGAGAGACTCTTAGGTGCTTGGTGGCTCCCACTGCAGGCCACCCACTTACTCTAGGAGTGTTGTGGCTGAAACAATGGGACCCCGAAATAAGGTGGAAATTGGGGTCTGTGGAGATTAAAATGGACACAGCAGTTGAGGGGGAATGCTAATCAGGATTCAGGGCCAGGGATGGCGACAGCAGGCATGGAATTAGCTGGGGAAAAGGGGATGGATTGCAGTCCCATCCCGGAGCCCTAAGCCAGATGGGCTCAGTTTTTTAGCCGCTTCAAGTTTGATTTGAAATACATTCCAGGGGGAAAATTTTTTTTAGCCAATACTTTGTCAAGGTTGCCTCAGCATAATAGCCAGCGTGAAGACGTAGTGGCGGTGATCATCCCGAACAATCAGTCGACGTTGGTGGCTATCACCCAATCTCGGGTTAAACAGCGGAAGGAAACGCCAGAGAATGGTTTACTAACTGACTTACAAAACGATCTGGAAATGGATGAGTGATTCCAGAAGAACAAAGACTCTTTAACCGAAGAAAAAGGAGTGTGGTGGCTCAGGGACCGACTATATGTCCCTGAGGGTTCCCGCAAGAAAGTGTTGCAACGTAGCCATGACAGCAAGGCAGTTGGACATTTTGGATTTGTAAAGACTCTACACCTAATTAGAAGGCAATTTTGGTGGCCATCAATGAGGAAGGACATAGCCGATTATGTACTGACTTGTCCCGCGTGCATGATGGCGAAAAGGAAGGGAGGAAAGCCAGTGGGGCTGCTGCAGCCAGTGGCTACACCAGAAAGACTCTGGAAGCAGATCGCTATGGACTTTATTGTGGAATTACCAGAAAGTAAAAGGAAGACCGTTATTTGGGTAGTCACGGATTTGTTTTCAAAGCAAGCTCATTTTATTCCGTGCACCGCTTTGTCTTCAGCCACTAAGCTTGCCAAGATGTTTACTCAACACGTGTACAGATTACACGGAATCCCCGAATGTGTGATTTCAGATCGCAGGGTCCAGTTTACTTCTAAGTTTTGGCAGGCATTTATTAAGTTAATTGGATCAAGCCAGGCTCTGAGTTCCAGTCATCAACCCCAGACGGACAGATCGACTGAACATCTGAACTCTGTGCTAGAACAGTATTTAATATGCTTTATTTCTTATCAACAAGACGACTGGGTGGATCTGTTGCCATTTGTGGAAGTGGCATATAACAACACAGTACATCAAAGCACCAGCTTTACTCCGTTCAAAATTGCTACCGGGCCGGACTTTGTGCCGATCCCCGAACTACCTCAAAAATTCACGGAAGTAGAGTTGGCAGATGATTGGATGAAAAAACTTACAAAAACCTGGCCATTAATTAACAATGCATTAAAAGAAGCCAGAGAGGATTACAAAAATTATGCTGATCATAAACGATCCCCTGAGAAACCTTGGAAAGAAGGAGATAAAGTTTATTTGTCCGCCAAACATTTAAAAACCACTCAACCATCAAAGATATTAGTACCTAAATTCTTGGGACCATTTGTCATTGAAAAAGTGATTAACCCTGTTTCCTACAGATTACAATTGCCTAGGAACCTGAAGAGGGTGCATCCCGTATTTGATTGTAACATGTTGAAAGACTATAAGGAGTCCACCAAATGGCATAAAACCCCTTCTGTTTCTGATCCTGTGATGACTGAAGGGGAGCAACATTTTGAAGTGAAAGACATTTTGGACTCTAGGAAACATAGAGGGGAACTGCAGTATCTGGTTCAGTGGAAGCATTTTCCTAGAGGTCAGGTGGAATGGGTAGTGAGCAAACATGTTAGGGCCCCACATTTGGCTAAAAGGTTTCATGATAAGTACCCTGCGAAACCCAAGTAACATGGTTAATGTGTATATTTTAATTTTCTTTTATTTTTTAGGTAACTTCGCCTTTGTAATTCATTTTTTCTGGAGGGGCGGCATGTCAGAAGCCTTGCAATCAATTAAATAGTTAATCAGCTTGCTTGCTTCGTTTCTGCCATTTTGGAAAAGGGGGAGAGGGAGAAAGAACAGTTAGGTGCAGGTGGACTGTTACCAGGTTCCCAGGGACAACCAAGGTCGTACCAGCCT